GCCCTTGACGAGCTTCTTCTTATCAGAGGACTCCTTGGCAGTAGCTGGCTTAGCAGCGGGTTTGGCAGCTGGTTTGGCAGCGGGCTTAGCGGCAGGGGCCTTGGTCGTAGCCTTGTTGTTCGCCGGGCTTGCCATGGGTACGGCGAGGGTGAGGCCAAGGAGGAAGAAGAGGAAAGCGAATGAGAAGCGCATTTTGGCGGTGGGTGAGCTTGTGTGTAGATAACGATAGTGTTAAAAGTAGATTAAGTGAGAGTGTGTCCGAATCCAGTCGGATAAGAGAATGTATTAGTAGAGAAAGTAGAGAAAGAAGGCTTGTCAGATGATGGTGTGATGGAGATGGGAAAGAAGCGATACTGTCGAGGTGACCCTATTGCATTTATACCTGACATTTCAGCTGCAACTATACGCAAACTTCACAAAACTGCCGGTGAAATGTGCAACTTCACGATGTCGCCGACGGTGCAGAGTGAGAAGGTTTCGTAATCGAACTCTGTTTATCTTTTGGGGATGCCATGATGCGAACATGTCGTGTGAAGGACAACACGAGCCAACTCGGGGCACGCGGTCAACGGCGTCACGCCATCCAAACCGGCGTAGGTATGGCTAGCCGAGTCATCTTGCTCACAGATCGACTCGTCCCGGATTTCTGGATATTCAGCGAACTTAGTGGGGTGGCCCTTGCGGATGATTTCCTCCCATTATCAGATGAGGAAACTTTGCTGAGCAGCATAGCCAAAGAGACTTCAGACGATGGACACTCAGTTGTTTTAGGATGAAACTGGAAGGCCTTGTTCATTGGTGGTTAACATGCATATCTGGTTTAAGGCTCAGAACAAGGCGGTTTGCTTCAAGCATGATTCGTGGGGTAAAATTGTTCTCAGTCTGTCAAGTCGGGCTGCCGATGGGTCCCGAAATGCCCGAGGATGTCGGAACGGGTCGCCGCTCACTTGGGCGTCCATATGAAGAGAACATGGGGAAATAGGAGAAGCATAAGGATAGACTTAGAATCGGTAGCGCGCGCGCACCCGACGGGATGCGAACCCAACCATGCTATCCCTGCCAGGGTGATCTCCTCACGCAAGACGGACGGATTCGCCTTGGCACGGTGATCTTAGAACTTCAATCTTGGCTTGAAAAGCTTGTCAAGTCTTGGGGGTTCATCTGTCACATCCTGGGCATCTGATCTCTGGTACCGGGCGTCTGGTGCCTCAGACGAGCATCACCTATCCCCTTTCGACGAGCTCTCACAACGTGTAAACTTTAGCCGGATGTATCGTGTAGGAGAAATTTTGCCGGTTGGTCCCTTTTACTCGCCAACTGTTGCGTGGTCTCTCGCCATCTACGAAGCCGTGTGCTGCTCACTCTATCATGGACTCTGTTTGAACGAAGTGTTCAAAATTCAAAAGCAGCATCAATTCAGATAATAGCCTAATTCATGGTGACAGAAACTTCCAACTCGTTTTCAAATAGTCTGCCATCATCTAATCCATCATCAGCAAGCTTTCCCTTTTCCTGAACTCATTCAACTTGTGATGAACGCGCGTCTTTTGGAAGCTCATCAGAGACAGAACTCAATAAAAGAGGGTGTTGAGATTCTCCCGCCACCATCTTTCGAGTCAAGTGTAGACGGCATCAGTTCCCTCCCAAGAGCCCGCGCGGGCGCCACCTACAATCACCGGACTCTACACAGCATCGGTCTTCACGAATGCGAAGGCCATCACGTTTCCTGTCCATTTTGCCGCTCTTCCCGCATGCCTCGGATACCTCCGAGTGTCTCTCAAGACAGGGAATCTCGGGCATGAGACTGGGTGACCTGTGCTGCTCATGAGACGCGGTGGGAAGCTTGTTTAAAGTTTTCAACGGGCCGGGGTAGGACCAGCGGACTTCGCTTGTGGGGATTTTGTGAGGTTTCCCTTCTTGGATGGGAAGAAGCTTTTCGCTTGACGTGGCTTTGCTTGGTCGCCTTTGCCGTGGGAGCACACTTCGCCATGCGATGACACGACCCAAGCTACGGCTGTCAGTCATACGACCACTTTACGTTTCTTTACAAGATCGTCAATACAATGAATGGTCATTGACTCTGTAGATGACATGTCTCGACGGAGAGCAGATCTTAAGACAGTGGAGAGGAAGAAGCAGGCACGTTGCAAAGTGGTGAAATGAGTCAGCCTTGGGGGAGTCACATGTCTTGGGTTACGCAGTTCGGGCAAACATAAGCGCTGAAAAGGGGAGAGTACAATACACATAGCCAGCAGGTACAAAAGAAAAAGCCTCAGCTCGCCATCTAACCAGATAAAACCCATGAACGTGAGTTGTTGTACACGCTTGTCACCAATATTACCTGAGCCTTCCGAGAGGAAAAGGCCGATCTGGTAAAACTACGCTGAACCAGCCGACGTCCTCTTTATTGATCTCCACATCAAACCACAGGAGTTCCTGTGAGCCTTTTCTTCCGAATTCCTAGCATTTTGATGCAACGTATCACCTGGTCTCTTCTTGTAGACAACAGATCTGAAGGCCCCTCATTTCCACTCTACGAGCCACCTCAAGTCAAAAGATCAAAGGTTCTCCGTCTCTCTCTTTCACTCACACTTGCTGTATTAGTCCGGCAGTATGCTGGAAAAGAAAGAAGCTCTGTCTCTTAAATATATAGAAATTGAGGTTGAAAACTATTATTGTCGTGAATTTTGGCACGGCCTCAAGCACCCAGGAATGCAAACAGGCGTGGGTGATAGGGAGAGAATCGCCGAATCGATATTTTCACTCATGTTAGCCTCAGAAGGCGTGAAAGCGCAAGAAGGGTATTAAATCTCAGAACACAACGCATGCATGCATGCATGTAGTCGTTCTTGCCGACGTCGTCGCTATTGCGCCCCCAACCTCTAGAGTGGAGAGTGGAGTCAACCAACTCACACGTAACACATATTTACTCTGGTCGTCAAAAGGATAATTGAGTACATTTTGCACCACTGACTAGTTCCCCATGAGCCTTGATAAAAAGAAAACACGAGAGTAAAAATGGAAAAAGCAAAAGAAAATGAGGACGGCCCGACTCGAACGGGCAGCCTTCTGGACTGGAATCAGATGCGCTACCATTGCGCCACGCCCTCGATTGTTGAGGTCATCACAAGCGCAATCAAAATAAGTAGCCGTGGGCTGAGCGGGCTTGCTGTGGTAGCCTGCACGTAGCCGTGGTCGACAATGAAGTTGATCGAGAAGGAGCGGTCCAAGTGGTTTATATCGACAAGCCCGAGCCAGTACCTTCCCCACAGAATCCCGAAGGTAGGTCCACTGAATTGGCTCGGCCGGACAATCGTACCCCCGAACCGCGTCTTCACCTCGGTGAGCCAACGCCATTTCGCGACCTACCAAGCTCGCATTTTCGCAGATGTAACTAGCCTTCAACCTCCGACTCCATCATTTCCACTCCCCGTCAAATCCTCAACCACCCAAACACCCGACGACAACCACCACGAGCGACACCCACAAGAAACAAAGAAGACAAGAAGGAGAAACAAGAAGGAAAAAACAAAAATGGACTACCAAAACCGCGCCGGCTCCAAATTCGGCGGCGGCGGCGTGGCCTCCCACTCCGCCACCAACGCCGACCGCCGCGAGCGCCTGCGCAAGCTCGCCCTCGAGACAATCGACCTCGACAAGGACCCCTACTTCTTCAAGAACCACGTCGGCTCCTTCGAGTGCCGCCTCTGCCTCACCGTCCACCAGAACGACGGCTCCTACCTCGCCCACACCCAGGGCAAGAAGCACCAGACCAACCTCGCCCGCCGCGCCGCCCGCGAGCAGAAGGAAGGCAAGCAAAACATCGACCCGGCCACCGGTCTCCCCGTCGGCGTCGTCGGCGCCGGCTTCGGAGCTCTCGCCCGCAAGAACGTCATCAAGATCGGCCGCCCGGGCTACAAGATCACAAAGGTCCGCGACCCCGTCAGCAGGCAGCAGGGCCTGCTGTTCCAGCTGCAGTACCCGGACATCAGCCCGGACGTCGAGCCCAAGTGGCAGGTCATGAACGCCTTCACGCAGCGCGTCGAGGAGCCCGACAAGAACTTCCAGTACCTGCTCGTCGCGGCCGAGCCGTATGAGACGTGCGCGTTCAAGATCCCCGCGCGCGAGCTCGACAAGCGCGAGGACAAGCAGTTCAGCTTCTGGGACCCCGACGCCAAGGAGTACTGGCTGCAGGTCATGTTCATGTCCGAGAGAGAGGAGAGGTATGTCGCCGCGCCGGGTCTGAGCTCGCGCAGGTGAGGGGGACGGGCGGCGGATTGTATGGGTGCTTACGATGGCATCTGGCATCACGAGACGGCTGCCTGTAGGAGAATGGCAGACCTGGTGTTATACATAATGAGATAGGCCCGACGCGTTTGTCCCGCAGACACAGGCGACGTCGGGACATGCATAGGGATTTGGCGTTTGGCGCAGGATATGGAAATGTAAGCTCTTCCACATGGTGGGATGCGAGAAAGAAGCTGACTCAAAAAGTTGCACATCACTATACCAGAATAGTTGGCTTTGTTTCAAATGCATTATCTTGACTGCATTCTATCGCCCAACTGCTGACAGTCATCCTCGTTTCTCCTGAATTTCGCTCCTGCATCCATGACATGTAGATCCGGTATCACTAGATCTTTCTCTGTCTTCCACCTCCTTCTCTCCACGTCGTGTCTCTCGTGAGAATGTAAACAACTCTAAACACCTACAGCCCACGGCCTCAAGCCCAAGGCAACAACCCATTCTGCCTCTCCATCTACATGGTGGTTTGTGCGATTTTGTGTCTTGATGCGAGTCAACGCCCTTTATGCAGTGGTTGTTGAAAACAAAAACGGAAAATGCAAGTCTTGGTAACATGAATCTGGTGTATCGGTAGGCAAAAAGCAAGATCGAGTACAGGGTGCGTAGGCCAGTCGCGGGCCTCGAGAACGGGTCTCGTGCATATGCGATTCGAAGGATCATGCCCATGCATGTCACCAACAAGAGGCAGTCGTGCCTCAACGGAAGTTGTTGTCGAAACGCTTGAAGGTGTAACCGATGAAAGGCAAGCTCATCTCGGGCGACTCCTCGACCACAGGGACGCCGGAACGGGCCTGCTGGATGGCTTGTGCCTTGAGCACGGTCGCGTTGTCGGTCTGGTCGATCTCGTCGGTCGGGAAGTAGGTGGTATCAATGGCGGATGTCAGGCGAGGCTCGAACGGCGCCCTGATGCGGCGCAAGCTGTCGAACTCGACTCCACGGAAGAAGGAGTGGGCCTTGATCTCGTGGGCGCCTCCACGGCCGAGACGGTTCTCGGTGTTGCAAATGAGGCTGGGCATGTTAGCAGGTGCGTTTCATAGAAAGATGGCAGGCTTGCTTACCTTCGAATCAAGTTCTCGGCCTCCACGCCAAGCTGGATGTCATCGGGGAAGTACAAAGTCTGCCTCCAGTTGACAATCTTTCGGTACGTGTCGTGGCTGTCCTCGGCGCAGAAAGGAGGCCATCCCACCAAACACTCAAACATGATGGTGCCAAGAGACCACCAATCGCAGTCGAACGTGTAGCCGTGGCCAGTGAAGATCTCGGGAGCGATGTAGTCGGGAGTTCCGACGGTGGAGTAAGCCATCAGTCTCCTTGAGCGACGCCAGTCGTTGATCTGGGAGCGGTTGCTGACTGTGAGGTTGATCTGGTCGATAGCAACAGAGTTTCTATCCCTTGGTCTGTTAGACCGGCCCTGAAGCAGCTGTTGGTAGTAGTTGTTGTCGTGCAAACGGTTGAAGCCGGTAGACAGACCGAAATCGGTCAGCTTGACGTGGCCGCCGCGGTCGAGCAGAATGTTGTCGGGCTTGATGTCACTGGGAAAGTTAGCAAGTTGCCACGGCTCTGGCGTATGCGACCTACCGATGAATGAAGCCCAACTTATGGACAGCCTCAATGGCAAGGACAATCTCTGCAATGTAGAACCGCGTGATATCCTCGGAAAAGATCTCGTACTTGATGAGCATCGTCATCAAGTCACCTCCGGGCAAGAACTCCATGAGCATGTACAGGAAGTACGAGTCCTGGAAAGTCGTGTAGAGCTTGACGACCCATGGACTGTCGGATTCGGCCAGAATGTCACGCTCCGAGCGGACGTGGGCCAGCTGGTCCTTCTTGAACATCTCCGTCTTGATCAGAGACTTCATGGCGTAGACCTTGCCGTCGCCCTTCTTCTGAACCAGCTTAACCTCACCAAAGGCACCCTTTCCGATAATCTTGACGGTGTTGTAGTTTTCGGGCTTGTCCTTTGTTCGCAGGAATCGCAGGTATTGTCCCTCCTTGCGGCCGGCGGTGGACCAGATCTGCTCGCGTCTCGATTGACTCTGGTTGGGCTCGGAAAGCTTGGCCTCCATCTCGCTTTGTCTGTACACGAAGCAGTCAGCAAGCTGCGACAGCTGGCATGCGAAACGCTTCCTTACCTCTGGTTTCTCTCACGGGCACGCTTCACACTATCCTTGAAGAAGTCTGACGCCAGCTGGGTGCACTTCTTCTGGTTGCTGTTGGCATTGACGCCATACTTCTCGTAGTTGCGCTCGGGAGCTGGGGCGAAGATCTCGGCAGAAGAGCTCTGCTGGTTCGGGAGAGGAGGAGTCGCGTAGTGTCCGTAGCCAGAGGGGGCCTGGCCGGGAGCACCAGCGGTGCGAGGTCGCTGGCCGGGAGAGGGGCCGCGGGAACCATAGGGGGATGCGCGAGCAGCGCCGCCGAGGTTCTGGTGGGAGAATTGGTGAGCTAGGCCGACATTGGGGTCGTTGCCGCCAGGAGTGTTGGATCGCGGCTGGTAACCGGCGTTGTAGTCGCCGTGGCCCTGGGGAGGGTACTGGCCCTGCTGCTGGTTGTTCATGAAGTAGCCTTGGGGAGCATAGCCGGCCTGGTAGGGCTGCTGCTGCTGCTGTGGGTGCTGCATGCCTTGCTGTTGCTGCTGCTGCTGGGCCTGGCCTGGGAAGACGGGTTGAGGGAAGGTCGAGGGAGTCGTAGGATACTGGCGGTCGCCACCGGGAGCCAGACGATCGTTGTTGTTCCCAATGTTGAGATAGAGACGGTTATTATTGCTGTCCATGGTCGTCGGTTTCGTCTTGACTCGGGGGGGCTACGCGGTGTGCGGGTAGGGGTTGGTTGGCAAGCAGACAGCGTGGGCGTGGGCAGGCTGTGCTGTGCGGTGACTAGCAAAGTGGCAGTTTAATTGACGGTGCTATGGGGGCCGGCGAACGGGGTCGTCGAGCTGAGGAGGAGGTCTGCAGACTGCGGTGGCAGCGGTGCGGTGCGGTGCGGTTGCGGTACGATGCGGTGGCCAGTTGGGTTGGTCGCAGCGACTAAACGGCGGGGAAGACAGCCAAGTTGGACTAGAGGTTGCAGCCGCGGGACGCCCAGGGTCAAGGCGGGAGGTTGGCAGTATTGGGCTGATTGGTCCGAGGCGGCTGTCGACGAGATAGATTGCGGTGGGTGGGTGGATGGGAGGAACCCGCCAGTACTAATTAAGAGAGAGAGTGAGCCCTAGTCAATGGGTTGGGTTGGGTCATGGACGGCGACCGGCGAGATATCGACAGGCGTAGGGATGGATTGGTTTGGGTGTATGTGTGGGAGAGAAGAGGAAGAATATGGATGTACCTTGTGGTGTTTTGGAGTGAATTGGATGGTTGGAGGGGGGAGAAAGACGGGCGGCGGCTGGACGTCGTCTCCTCTGTCTCCTTACTAAAACGTAGCGAAAGGGGGTGGAGGGGGAACTTTTTGGCGATGCGGCACGATGTGGCGGAAGGGGAGGGGAAACGGGGGGGAAGGGGCAGCAGAGACACCAGGCTCTAAGGGGTGATCCTTTTTTTTTTTTTTTTTTTTTTTTTTTTTGTTNCTTTTTTTTTTTTTTTTTTTTTTTGGTCTGGTCTGGTCTTCCCCTTATCCTTGGGACCTGGACCCCTCTTCGTAGGCTTAAGGAATGTGACGACGGGAAAGCAGCTAGGTTACCTTGGGTAGCTTCTTGGCTGGGTGTGCGGTCCCGAGGGATCTGAGGCGACAGGACGAGGCACCCTCAAGCAAAGGGAGGAGACAATGGCAAACAGAGATGAAGTCGGGAGGTGTATCTTCGTATTGTGCATATGCAGTAAGGTAGTCGAGACTCGAGAAGGGAAGGGGGGAAGTTGAAGTCACGAGACCGGAGCCGGGACAGGACAGCGTGCACGCAGTACGTAGGAGGTGCTTGCACTGAAGAAGAGTGACTTTGGTGGCTTTCAGGTTTACTTTTCAGCCGCTCCCAACAGACTGCAATTGGGTTCCGGGTCCCAGCCAGAGTCGCGGCAGAGTCCAGACGGGACGTGACACTTTTCAGGGACTCGCCGCCTCAGGACCTTCCGACAGTCGGTCACAGGCGCAGGTACCTTGACACGAAGCAAAAGTCAAGCAAACACCAAGCAGCAGCGGCATGGAACGGCAGTGGCAGCGTCGTGGGCCCGTCGCGGGGGCCTTGGACGTGAAGTCGGGCCTTGCTGGACCCCAGCTACCCCTGGGTTTGGAGCCATGCCGGCTCGTGACTGGCTGATGGGCCGACGTGTGTGGGGTACAGCTGCCATGCTAAGGGATGCTGAGAGGTACTTACCTAACGTACGCTAGGTACATGTACTATGTATGCGCATGTACCTTTGAATTCCTCCGCTGCACCTCCTGCTCCTGCACTCTACAAGGCCCAGTGAAGAATATTACCGCGACGGGGCTTCATCTATTCTGATATCCGCCTTTTGCATCTTTTATCCGTCCATGAAACACCCTTTGGCAAACACCCTGTTCTTCATTCCGCTACCCGCGATGCTCCCAATCTTGCATCCCGATTCCATTGTCAGTCTTCCCTCGCACCGACAGCCGTCCTTGGCCCACACGTGCGGGGCGAAAGGGGCGGGGGTCGAAGTGCGAGTTTCCAATTCACCCTTCAGGCTTTCACAGCAATAAGGGCCCCTTCCAATCGCTTAACTTAACCCCGACCTCTTCTCTCCTGTGGCGGCGGCCCCCTTCACCGACTCTTCAGCCAACCAACCAACCAGCCGCGTCTCCGGGAATATGTGTAAGCCAACACCAACCTCGTCTCCCCACCTTACGGACATCGTTGACTTTTGCTCGTCAGAGTCAAAATCAACTGCCATGGTTACGTCGCGACCTACTCACACGCCTCGCCTAAGTTAAGGCGCCTTACTTTTGGCTACCTTAACTTAAGCCACCTTAACTTGACAGACAGGCCCCCTCACCGGGACCCTCCATCCGAAGAAAAGAAAAAAAAAGAAACAAGATGTCGTGGACGCCAATGTCGACTGCCGGTGCAACCAACACCATCATCGCCAGTGTCTCCTCCCGCCTCTGCGATTGGCTTTCCACCTCTAAGCGTGCTACATCGTCTCGGCATCTTGCCGAATGCCCTCTTCCCTATCTCCCTGCCTGCCTGCCTCCGCCTGTCTTACCCGTCAACATCCTCCGCACGTACACACCATACGGATGCACTCAGTCACTCCCAACCCACACTAACACTCACCGGCCAAGCCATCCGGGCCTCGAGTTCAGATCACCGTAAACAAACTTACCCTCCCCCTTCCGGTCCTCCGGTCTTTTGGAGGGCCCAACTTCAACTGCCTGCCACCCAAGACAAGCAAGCAAGCAAGCAAGCAAGAAAAAAGGGCATTGACACTCTGCCCTACTCGCAGCCAAAGCATGGCTATCCCTCCTCGCCGGTTCATCTCTCCGACGGGCCCTTCCATCTCGTCTCTCCGTTGCGAAAAAGGCAGCCCACGTCACTTTGACCCTCCACCTGATGCAGCCCATCGCATTGCCGTCGTCATCCCATACCCTCCGCTACCCGCATTGTTCTAGCTTCTTCTATGCCAAAACCGCGACACGGCCGCACGCGCACACACACGACACAACGACCACCCGGCAGCCTGGCTCCTCCGCGGCACCAAGCATCACGCGTTGCAACGGGCCAAACAGCAACACGACGTCGTAGAACCCATTCCCAATTGCCCCAGCACGAGATAAAATAGCATCATCGTGTCTCCCGCGGTACGCCTCCCACATTGTTCAATGCACGGGGCGGCCCCCCGTTACACCCGCCACCACACAAGCTTGTCCGTGGCACATGGCAGCGTTGCACTCTCCGCCTTTTGATTCACGCCGCTGCTTGACATCGCCCGTCAAAAACCACTTGCCCCGGCCTGGTGTGTGACGGCATGTACGGTGTGGTTCACCGTCTCTGCTTGCTCGCCTGTGTTTCAGCGTCGCCTGTGTTCCCGCCAGAGGGGCCTCGGCTGGGATTATGACTACACAACAGCCACTCACGACCCATGGATAACTCATGATCTACGGTTACGAAGAGTGCTACTCCTCCATATTTCGACCATCGTATGGGAAGATCTCCCGCCAGTGTTAGAAGGCTGTCTGCACCGCCACGCTGCACCAAGCAAAGTCCGACAGAAAGCTGACGAGGCACGTTGACCAAGACTGACATCAAGACTCGCGGTAGGCTCAAGTGATGCCCTGTGTGTCTGTGCCTAATTCACCCTGGACACCTTAGACTGCATGCCCAATGACAACCCGTCAAGCCATCTCCCGCAACGCGTCCTCCTGCCATCGTGACTTTTAAGCCGTCGTTCTGCAGTATGGCCGATCATGCAGTCCAGATCTACCAGTCAGGGTGGCCAAGCTAAATGTCCTCCCGTAGTGGACACCCCGCCTCTGCGTACCAAACATCAAAGTCCCGATCCCGGAGCTGGATGCTTCAGCCTTTCGGGGCTCTCGGAGGAAAAAAACAAAGAGAAGGGCATAATTTCTTCAGACGGGGTGCCGCTGCAATGTTCCCCCGTGCGCATCTTCGTCGTCGAAGCCTGAGCTGGACCAGACTCCCCTGCCAATTGAGTTTGTGCTTGTCGGGCAGTCTTCAGCGAGGAACACAACGGGCTCTCCAGTGACAGCTTGTAGTGCGTTTTGAGCACGGGCTCTAGTCTGTATGCGGAAGGCGGTGGGTGATAAATCTCCACCTTTCCCTTTTGGGACGGGTAGATCCGATAATTCGGCGAAGCTCTTATCGCGAACAAAATTTCGAAAAACCTCGCTTCGTCCCGCCCGAGGTAGACCCCTCGTGCTAATTGCGAACGCCTACTCCGCGTCCATATTCCTTCGTGTACAAGCCGGATTTTGACCAGAAGATCGGAATTATTCTCCGTTCTCACTGAGAAACCGCCCAACATGGCGGACTCCAAGCCGCCCACGCCTCCAGAGGTATACACCACTCATCCCCATCATCACGAACATCACCTCACTAACATACCCCAGGCCACCCCTCCCGCGCCCTCAACCGCGACACCTCCCCCAAAACCAACTCCCGCCACTACGACGACCGCCGCCGCCCCCGGCCCCTCCGTCGCCGAAGCCTACAAAGCCCCGAAACCGAACCCCGTCTGGCAAATGCTCGGCATGCGCGGCCCGCCCAAACGCCTTCCCTCCCGCAACTGGATGATCTTCCTCTCCCTCACAGCCGCCTTCTCCGGCGCCGTCATCTACGACAAGCGCGAGAAGAAGCGCGCCACCGCCCGCTGGGCCCGCGCCGTCGCCCCCCTCGCCGCCGAGCCCATCGCCAACCCCTCCCAGCTGCCCCGCCGCCTCACCGTCCTCATCGAGGCGCCCCCCGGCGACGGCCTGCGCGTCGCCCAGGACCACTTCCTCGAGTACGTCAAGCCCATCCTCGCCGCCTCCGGCCTCGACTGGGAGTTCGTCCAGGGCCGCCAGCAGGGCGACGTCCGCGCCGCCGTCGCCGAGAAGATCCGCCGCAGGCGCTCCCGCGAGGAGCGCCCGGACGTCGAGCTGCTCCCGACCGAGGAGAACCTCCGCGACGCCATGCGCCAGAAGAACGGCGTGCCCGAGTTCGACGGCCCCGGCGGCGACATCGTCATCGGCCGCCACGCGTGGAAGGAGTACATCCGCGGCCTGCACGAGGGCTGGCTCGGGCCCCTCGACCCGCCGCCAAAGCCCGAGGAGGAGAAGGCCCCCAAACCCGACGACACAGCCGCTGCTGCTACCACCGACGGCGAGACG